GAAGCGCACAATAGTTACGCTGTAAACAGTCTGCCCTTCTGCTTTAAACATTGAACACAGCTGTTCACGAATCATTAAAAGTTATATTACTAGAAAAAAGTAATACGATATGTACAATAATACTAATGGACAAAATAAATACCTATTTCTATAACGACCAGTGACCATGAAAAACCTGTGAAAAGGGTTCGAAACGTCGGCCGGTAAAAATAAATGCAATAAATCCTTAAAAATAGTTTGATATTTCGACATTTCGAGAAAACTCATTTTCTCCATTCCAAAAACTTTATTGTTATTGTAATTATCGACTAAAACATGATTTACAATCATATTGCTATGAATAACTTTGACATATCAAAACAAGTTAATATGTATGAAAGCGACGCTAAAACATATATTATAATTCGAAGATCTGTTTTACTAAATAATAAATATTATAGTGTAATTACATGGTAGTAGGTACTTATTTTTTTTTTTCAAATGGTATTAGGAACTGAGAACAGTTAACATGTTGTATAAACAGATGGGACAACCAAAAAATGAACAATTTGCACGCCTTAAATTTTTTTTTAAATTGAGAAGGTGGCAAGATAGCTGGCGGTTCACCTGATGTTAAGTGATATTTTCGCCGCCCATAGACATTTGCAACACCGTTAGGGTTGCAGATGCGTTGCCGCCTTAATAAAGTGGGCCCCGGCTACCTTACTCACCTGACGAAACGTAGAAGTATAAACACTTCCACTCCTCTCAAAATAAACATCTGCATTTACCTTACGGTGTTTATCTTCACGCTAAGCGCAAATTTAACAAATTTTTAATATAATTTCGAACAATCGTGGAATCTAAATATCGTAAATCAAACTCAAAAGTCATAAAATCAATTTATTTCTTGTCATTCCAACCCTACTTGTTTTATTAATAATACACCTATGTAAATAAATACATCGCGCTGCGAGTTCGTAAAATTTTAAATCCCTTTGATAGATTGGACATTTAATCAATTGCTTCGAAAGCGAAAGCAGCACTCGAGCTACACAATACCTTATCCTTACAGACTGTAGGGCCAAATCGCTGTAAGCTCGTAACACGGACCACGGCCGATCGGAGCCCTACGGACAAGATACGTCCGCTCGTTACGAAATGACTCCGATACGATCGGACGGCGGAGATGTTTGGGTGCCGTTGCTATTTTGTTGGATAACGACAACAACAGAAAAAGTAAAGCGCGATTACGTAAAGCCCTGTTCGAGATTATTAACGGTCTGTGATCGCTTTGTTTGCTCGACGATAATCGGCGCTATATCATCATTGCATCGGGAAGTTCGTAATCGCGTGTTTTTTGTTTTTGTTTTAAACGATTAATCATGATAACATAACATATGATAAGTTAAGTTGTTATATATAATTATATCGGTATAGTTTCTTCAGCATTTTACGAATAAACAGGCGGGCTTAACTTTTCATTTAGAGACTATTGTTTTAATTTCAACCAAAATTGATGAGACTAAAAAATGCGAAAAAAATATCACGTGATCAATGGACGACCCCTTAAAGTATTGACAATTTACCTTGTGAAAACGACGAATAATCCCGTGATTTCTCTTCCCCGGTCTCCGTTTACGTGTGACTTGATTGGAAAGGCTTCGGAGGACGAAACGGAACGGCGCGGTGCGGCGGAGAAGATCGTGAGTCACGAGCCGACCCGCGGCAATGGGACATGTTAATTGGAACAGATCTTAGAGCCTCTCCACTCTCCTCTCATTTGCATAGTGGCACTAAGAGCGGCGCTCGCCTATATTTCATACGCGATATTGGTGCTATCACGGGCGGGCTTGGGATGAATAGATCAGCCCCGCCGCCATAATGAGTTCCATTAGTCTCCGCTCGAACGAGGAGGTGCGTCGGGTCGAAGAACAGGAGTTGAGTTTTACAAATTGAATGAAGACGGCGATTTGTCAATGACCCGCGGTTAAACGTGCAATTTGTTTCGGAAATTCTGCTTTACTTGAAGATATATTCATTCTCCGGTTTAGTTGATCTGGCTGATTAAGTACGATATGCGTTAGATCCACCTTAGGTCTGTCGGCATAGGAGTGCTATGTAGAGATTTTCGTTAACCCCAATTAGTATTCTATCCCAATTAAACTTATTTAAATAAAAACCGTTGAATAAGAACGCACACGGCGAAGGAATCGGTCTTCATATAATAAGATAAAAAAACTCGGTTGTAGATGATGTAACGGAATGGATATTATCCGTGCTTCTATTAAATAATCTTCGGTATATGGCGCCAAATGATTCTTTATCTGGCAAATTAATGCGCTGCGATAAAGCATGTTGTGGGAGCTAAAGGTTGGCTGATAACTTCTCACCGGGTTGCGTAGCCAAATAGCACATTCATTCATATAAATCTTATAATAATTTTTCAACAGTGATTTAGAGATAATATTGTATCAAATGCTAATTTATTTCATGTTTATCGCTACCGTTCGTAAATTCATTTTTTTATTATATTTCTCAAAGATGTTTTTGACATTACGCCATAACTTCCATAAATTGTCCTCAAACTTAATGATTCAATCACGATTTTAGAGCTCATGTTTGCCATTATTAACGCAAAATAGTAGAATATAGTTAAAACTTTTGGTTTTCTTTTTTTTAAATAAAAAATAAGAATGAATGATAATTTCATCGATTGACAACTTGTTTTATGTAAGATCCAAAATAAGATACACTTCATGGATAAACTGTCTTGTCACTGTAAGAAAATTACGCACGGGTCAACTATTTTTCACGTTGCGTGTTTATTACATTACTTTTTGCCGCGGATATTCCCATAATTTCAGGATGCACTTGAGTTCGAGTCAAACGTTAGCAGTAAGCATATTAATATTTCATTTAAAATAATTATAAAACATCACATTTGCATATTGCCTTATATAAAGGGAGCATGTTTTCGTCAATTTTCGTCGAGCCATATGTTTGCCCAATTTGTGATGGCGCTGCTCCAGTAAAATTGAAAATTCAAGACTGCAGAAGCATGCCAATGTTCTTGACGCTTTTAAAGCATGAATGTACGAATGAAAATAAAGCTGATTTAAAAAAATGGAATTTCTAATTTATACTGTAACATAGATATACGGAAGCGAATCGGAGCCTGTGTATGAGGAAATACAAAAAGTAACACGGGTAATGATATATGACTACAGTGTAACGAAATATGAAACTATGTAATTACGATGCGAATAACTAATAAGCTGTCACAATAACATTTTCAACGTGCACGTTGACTAAAAACAAAACCGGAATTAATCAATTCATTGACCAAATTATCGCGCGTGGATGATTGGACGGGACCGTCGCGGTCACATTCCGATCATAATTAACGCAATACTCGCTAACCGCGATGTAAAAACAACGAGCTCTCAATATTTTAAGTCTAACGTAGTTAGCACAGATAGAAAAATTATCCAAGTTTTGCTATCAGATCTTAACCAAATAAATGCCAATGGTGGCGAGAAGAAATTCCTAAAAGTCAGTGAAAACACTGATTCTTACATTAGCCTAAACCGTCCTTAGATTAACGCTTTACATAATTGTTGCATTAGTGAAATATGGTTTGTATTTACTAATATTAAACTAGAACCGGATATAAAATCATGATTCTCATAGGAATCTGCAGACATTGAGAAACCATTTTTTTGGTTACTTACATTCCAAAAAGAAAAATTGTTTATTTTACATTCATGTAGGTACTGCGATGGTTTCTTAGACCATCACTTCTTTACGCGCTAAATCGTGAGTTTGCATGCTTCAGACACTAGCCTATAATTGCCTGGTAGTAAGTTATTTAAAGTACTACAATATTAAAGTACTACAACGTAAATCGGTTTGCGTCGGTCGCGTTTGCGTCGTACTCCATTTAGGTCAAGGCGTGGATCGTTTCATTATCACAGATTGCTCTGCAGCGCTGGAACGGTGCCTGGAAGTTTGGACGGTAACGGCAAAAGAAGCTCACGTCAAAGAGCCGCCACATCGAGTCGAATTTCAATGTTTGAAGCTCTCGAGTTTTAATCCAATAGCCAAGTATTAATAGTCATATCTTTCGCATGCACATCTGCAAGGTGTCAATCTTCGAGACTCGATTCCTGAAAATCCTTAATGCATCTGTGAAATTACCCTCGTCAATGTTGATGCAATGAAAGTCAACGCTGGCTACACATTTCATTTTCTTATCAATTTTAATTTGACTTAATGTGAAAGGGCTCACAGAAACTGAATTAAAACCTGAAAACTATCAGGCAAAGGGGCACGAGGGGTGCAACGATGATAAGTGATTACTAAAGAGTCGATGAACATTTACAACACCTATGTTGCAACTCCTAAAAAAGTTTTAAGGGGATGACAAATATGTGTAAATAATTATATTGTACGCCCCCTCACGTGATGCCGTGGTCCTAGGCATTAGGTGTGTGATTGTTGTCAATCCTCAGACTGTATAGTCTATTGGTATAGTATATTACTACAGTAATTTGTTTTCCTTTCATAAATGTTTAAGGCTCTTGAACATTAAATTTAATAGTCAATTTTCAATTTCCCAAACTGTTGCACACTTTTCGTCTTATTCGATAGATCTGTCTTTGAGACTACATTGGAGTGGGGAAGAATGACAGCTAGGTATCCAAAGTGCTTCCTTGAGAACTCGACTCGGCGGAATTGAAACGAGTAAATCGTGGGAATCGCAATAATTGGAATCGCGTCAGTAATCAACGGTCGTGATTTCTGGCAGATCTGTAATGGCGTCTGAAGTCTAGGATGTTGTCGAGCCAATTGACAAACATTGTGCTATTACTATAAATAGTAGATTATGAGAATGCGTGCGCAGAATACTATTAGAAAGCTATTTTTATATCTTTTTTCCTGTATTTATCGGAAATTAACTTATTTATGCTAATGTTTGAGAGGGTATCGCCTTCATTTACATTAATTTCCATTCGTTAATGGGTTCTAAAAAAACTTGTCTGCGGTCGGACGATTTCTTGAAGCCAAAGAATATTCTAAAGGACAGCCTCGAAGCTCCCCGCTTATTTGGGGCAAGTGATCCATGGGAACAAAGGGAGCGGGCAACAGGTGATGTATCAGCTTGTGAAGTCACGGGTGGTGGGCACCACCGCGGCCACACCATGCGGATCCTCGCATTCCAGCGCAACAAGCGTGTGGGGTGAGCACTCGACCGTGTCGAGCGTGCCAGGGACTGGGCCACGATGTTGCACAAAATTCACCAACACTTATTACGTCGACTGACATATAATGTAAAATACTGTCGTTTAGTTTTTGAGTGAGTATTAAAACAAATAATCAATAATATTATTTAAAGTTAAGTATTTACTGCGGACTAAAACAAGCCATGGAAAAGTTTGGAAATGGGTTTATTTTGTACTGTACCGGTTGATTGCTCAGCATGAGCTAAATAGATACAAATATACAAAACAGACAAAATGATCAAATTTATATGAAAAAAGGGACGGGCAACCGCGGGAAAATCTTGCTATGTTCTACATTTGCAATTATTCCCAATTTTAAAATTTACGTCTATGAAAAGTACTAGAATTATATTTTACTCTTAACTAATGTAAACATCGAGGGCAATGTATGAAAGTTTTATAACTAGGAAACTCTACTGTGAAGAAGCTGAGAAATCATAAAAAATGTAATCGGTGCGAACGACCGTGGAGGCGCGTTGAGTAAAAATAATACGTCAACAACAGACTCGGGAAATGAACCTCAATCGACGGCAGGAAGTGGGTAACTTACGTTATTAGGAAATATTTAACGGAGCACTAACACGCTTCGAACAACAAATGTTTTAGTACACTAATGTGCTTTTTTTTGTTGCAATAGAAATGCGACAAACGGTCGTACCTGACGGCCTGTGACCATAGTTCCTAGTAAATTCTCCTAAAAAAATCCTAGTAAATCCTAGTAAATCCTAGTAATTTCCTATTCATAGTAAATAGATAGTCTATAACGTGCGCAGGTTGTGAACAAATAGTGGATGGAAGTGTGACATTTAAACATTATTGTGAACTGCTAATGGTGCACCGTTTAATAAAGTGCATTAATAGTATAATGTAAACGTTCAAATAACTATATATGTTGGCATTAAAATTTTTATATTACTAGTAATATTTTGTAACAAGTCAGCGTAAACTCACATCGTATAAGGCAATATTGCCATATTTTGCTCGAATCTAAATCATGACAAACTATCGTAGACAAAAACTATACCTCTCTGATGACGCTGCACTTTGTCAATTAGTCAGTAATAGGGTTTTTAACAAGATAATTTCTCACACACACCCCGCGCAAACAATCGGCGAGGGTTGCGCAAGGGTGCGTTCGTATCTCCGCCCCCTTCAGACCGAACAATGCTGGGGAGGGGGTGAGTGCGCGTTGCATAATCGGCAGCCCAATTTTGCACTTTCCACTCTAGAGGACAATGGGGCGCGTCAAACAATCGGTCAACGGCGGGACACGGTCGACGGGCGGCAACAATGCTCCGACGGATTTAATCAGCGGTTGCCGTTCGTCGATGATGATCAGTGGGGGATGAGGCAATGGATGAATACGGCCGGTTCATTCAAGTACGGCATTGTTTAAAACTAGTTTTTAGGGTTCCGTACCCAAAGGGTAAAACGGGACCCAATTACTAAGGTGTACCATTGGGCATTTCACAATAACGTTTTAATGTCACATTTCCATCCACTGTTTGTTCACAACCTGCGCACGATATTATAGATTATCTGTTTACTATGAATAGGAGCTGTGTCCTATTACTAAGACTGCGCTGTCTGTCTATTTGTCTGTCACCAAGCTGTACCTTCTAAACCATGATAGTTAGACAGTTGAAATTTTCCCAGACAACGTATTTCTGTTGCTATAACAATAAATACTAAAAAAAATATTTACTGACTTGGCGGTTTATCATAGATACAGAACCGTTCGGCACGAGTCCGACTCGCACTTGGCCAGTTTTTTTATGATTTAAGTGAATGCTGCCTCAGCTGTTCAAACGAGCCGTGTTTTGGGCTAGACACCAACACGGGAGAAGAATTTGACTTAGTATTTTGGTTAGGTGATTTTCAAGTTTGTAAAATTCCCTGCCTAGAGATTTTTCTCAAGATCGGAATTCAATTTTCGCTGACTTACAATAAGATTATTAAGTCAGCTGATACAAAAATTTCATTACCAAAATAAATTACTATAATTTATTACTTCAATGCAATTTATTATGATTTCTGCACATTGAAATTATAACGGCAAGCGATACAGAGAGGTTATGCAGTAAATTACAGTTTTCAGGTATTTCTTATAATCGTTCAACCAGTCGTCTTATAAAAAAAGGTCTCAATTTATTCTCAATAAATTTATAACACAGTAAAGTCCGTAGCATTCAATTTTAAAATTAATAACGATAAAATTTGCTTTCCTTTGAAACAGTCATGTCGGCGCGCTTTCACCATAATTGTATAACAATAAACGCGGCCGGAGATTAGAGCAATAAAATACATTAAAATAACAAGTGACAAACAACGAACAGACGGCGAACGCAAAGGAAGAAACAAACGCACTATAAGCAGACCTCGATTATTAGGAATAATTTACAACGTTTATGTCGCGATAAAACCGTTAACTTATATTTACGTCGGCCGTATCAATCATGATTGAGAATTTTTATATTGACACTAGCAAGAGGTTGGCTACACGTAACTTAGGAAGCAAGCTGGTGGTTCCCCAGGGACATTTGCAACGCCCGTAGTGTTTTAAATGAATCGTTTTCATTCATGTCCCTGAATACAAAGCACAAATACGTGTATTTCCTATACATCCCCGCTCATATACTCACCATAAAGTTAAAATTCAAACAATCATTTCTTATTGTAAGCATCTCTACATAGTATAAAACAAAGTTGTCCCGCTGTCTGTCTGTCCCTATGTATGCTTAGATCTTTAAAAGTATGCAAAGGATCTTGATGTGTTTTTTTTACTAGATAGAGTGATTCAACAGGAGGGTTTATATGTATAATACATTGCACCCGTGCGAAGCCGGGGCGGATCGCTAGTCAGTTAAATACCCCACTTTCAACTTTTAGATTTTGTTGTTATGGCTGTGCACCAGTCAGTTGAAGTCTTAAACGTGATTTAATCAGCGACGTATAGCAACCATGGACCTTTTCCCACGCGGCGGCAATGTGACAATGAACAGTGAACCCGACGTTTCGCAACGGTCCGAGGCCGCGATGAAGTTATCAAAAACGCGCGGCGGCTTTATGGCGTACGCACGATCTCGTCTGCGGCACGCGACCCCCCCCCCCCCCCCCCCCCCCCCCCCCTCCCAGAACCGTCCCTCCTCACCGCATTGCATCACCCCGCCAACTGCAATCCATCGGTTACGCTGCATCCCCTCGGTGCGTCACAATCGCTCGCATAGTATCGATTCGCCTCCCGGCTAGCGAAAGATTTGGACATCATTCGGCGCAGAGGCTTGACTACGAAACCTAGTACTGTGTACAAAGATATTGACCACGAAAACTGTGGACGTGTGTCATATGTGATTATGATAATTTCGCTGTTATTGTCAAAACTTTTCCAGTGATCGTCAATTTTCACCAGTTTTCCGAAGGTAGATCGTCGTGAATATGACAATGAATGTTGTAACGTCTGAAGCAGTATTTGAATAGAATTAGAAACGTCCGGTATTTAAATTTAAATGAATTGCTAAAAATTAAAAAAAAAAATTAACAGTGTGTACATAATTTGCAAAAATACAATAAATCATTGCATATATATTTATCTGTAACTACTTGAAGAATCGAAAACAAGACGATTGCAGTCACGTTAAAGATAAATTTTGAGCAAATATATGCTTTATTCAGGAATAAACTTGATAACTTTGGAATGTTATGGCAAGCTATAGAAATATAAAATATAGAGAAAGTGTTTAATAAACACGTCCATTACACAATATAATATACATTCACACTCTACTACAGTCGCTACAAAAAAAAGAACATAAATAACCACTGACACACACAATGCCATTGAGCTGTCGAAAATCCTTGGAATCCTTTAATCACGGTTTATTTATTTCTTCGTCTCCTATCCGAGCGGCTAAAAACCCCGACGGATTTGCAGTGGATCCCCGTTTTGTAATAAACCGAATGAAATACGGACGTTATCACGTTATAAATATTCCACGGGTATTGTGCAAAAATCGCCAATAAATTGTCGAGACGCATTGTTGCCGGGTACATAGGCATTGGGGTCCACAGTGCCCCTTCGTAGGCCGTTGTCCCTCTGCCTCGACGCAAGAGGGGCAGGACCGAATGCAGTTCATTCGGCACGACAAAAAAACGCCGCATATCTGCTTGTAATAAACTGAATGAATTCGCCTAATATTTTACCCGTGTGTACTTACTGAACAGTTCATAGGAAATGTTTGCTTAAAAAGAAAAGGCGTCTTTAATTAGTGTGAAAGGGATAGCGCTAATATGTATCTCGAGAATAGAATTAATGTAAGCTAATGTATTTTTAATGTAGGTAATTTTCGTTCAATCACTTGATGCAGTTTCAGTTTCAGGGAAATAAGTTATGACCAATAAAGTATCGGCGATTATGCGTTTGGATAATTGTATCCCTTGCTGTAGGATAACATTATCCTGTGTTGTAACGTCAACGTTGGGACATTTTATATATATACATTAATTTCACGTGGACAAACCGATCCGAAAAAAATTTCATGGATCACACAAATAGTTGTCCCGTGTGAGAATCTAAACCACGACCCTCAACGCCGAAGCCGATACCTTGGCAACTGAGCCGCACCGGATTTTTTTATATGAGATGGTGGCAAGTGAGCTGGCGGTCCACTCGATGTTAACTGAAAACCGCCGCCCATGGACATTTGCAACACCCTTAGGTATGCAGACACGTTGCCACCGTTAAATAGTGTTTAAATATATCCACATCAAGGGATATTGTTATTCATTGTGATAAGGAAACGTCTAAATCAAAGCGGACGCATTGGCAAATCGAAATCGGAACTCGAATCCATGGTAGTTGGGGCTCGTTGCCCCGCCGGGTTCAACAGACCGTCGTCGGGCGTACGGGCCCCGTGGACGTACAAACGTACAATTAGTGTCTCGCAAATTGGCCGCGCTTCCCGCTCACAATTAACCGCGCCGGCATTGTATCCTGCACTCCACACTAAATGCTCTCCGCCGGTTGGATGGTCGCATCGTGCATCGGTTGCATGGTTACTTTAATTCGACGCGCAATGCTTTAACTTTGCTGCTAACGATCGACTGGGAACTGTTTACTTCCTTCTAAGAATTTTCTCTTTTTTATTATTTTATCATTCTATCACGCCGTAACTTAAGCATGGATACGACCACAGAATAAAGATTATTATAATTTAGAGCTTACATATATTAAGTTCAATTATTGTAATAGTTGCCTCTATGAGCGTAGATTTACACTCCGATTAGTATTTTATAGGATTAACACATGTTACAACCGACAGATGATTTTTTTTACATAGGTTTACATAGACATTACATAAAAAAATCTATCTGGATACATTCATATTTTCGACCAGGATAAAGTTGTTGAGCTTACTTGATTAAATTATTAACATGTAAGATTTAAGACAACATGAACCCACAATATTTATATAACAATAGCATTGCCCAGCATGCGTTGCAATAACTCGCAGTTTCATTACAGTCGTATGATTCCTTGTAAAATTATTTTAGACTAGCTGCTGCCCTCGACTACGTCTGCGTAGAATAGGCTGAAGGCGTAACATTCAGACGGAAAGACTGATATAAATATGTATATAAATTATAGCCTATGTCTAATTCTGATGTATAAGCTATATTATTGCTAAGTTTCATTAAAATCCATTCAGTACTATTTACGTGAAAGAGTAACAAACATCCATTCATACATACAAACTTCCGTGTTTCTAATATTAGTAAGGATTTTAGAAGAAACGAAAAAGATACAAACAGATAATTTAAGAAGCTTTTGTTCAGCAATGATGGGGATGAGGCTGTCATATTTCAATATGACATAGTCCCGCCCCATTCACATCATCTAATGTATTTCATAAAACCTTTTGTATATTTGACCTTATAAGTGATAGTGGGAAATTGTCATAGGGTGTTTTCGATATTTTTTTTTTTCATTTTTCTCTTTAGCCCACAGCTGCAAATGGTGTATTTGTGAAAGACACAAGCGCTGCGAAAACACAAATCCAAAAAACTGTTTTGGAATCACCGCGCGAAAAGTTATTGAAACAATCTCACGTTCCTCAGATGACAATCGACCAACAGCAAAAGGTGACAGGGCTATTGTCGTGCTCGATCGCTCTGCAAATCGGTGGGAAGCTGTTTAAACTTCACAATGTTTAATTTTAATTAATGCTCGTATATAAACGTTGGTGCGTCTGTTAGTCGCACACTGAAATTCTAAAAAAGTAAGACTCGGTTGATTGAAGCCATATACTCACAGTATACTTGCTTTGGTAAGATGTAAGATAATATGGACTCTCTTATTTGCATGCGTTGCAATGATGCGGAATAACTAGCAGTTTCCTTACAGTTGAATCAAATTTATAAATGGATAGAGAGGAGTGAATTAAAAAATAACATTTCATCCCTTCTAAAATTATTTTAAAGAAACGAAAAAGTATACCAACACGCAATGTCAGGGAAGACAATAAAATATACAAAATAAAAGTTCCATCAAATAAGACACCATGTGGGCACAAATACGAAAGCACATTAAAAAAAACTTCGGTCGCAAAACTAGGGTCACACAATAGCACAATAATATTCACCGCGGCCACCTGCTAAAGTATATTCAAACAACACTTGCCTCGAAGCGGAGCAGGTAGAAATGTACTCAATTTTTTTTTTCATCGCACAACCGAACCTTTGCCATTGAGCGTCGCTAGGGGGTGACAAACAGTAAAAGTTGTTCGCCGAAAGGTATCCATTATTCCGAAAATAGTCCGCCAGAAAACCCCGAGGCCTGTAGAAAATCGGTCGACCGGGCGTCGAACACGGGTTCTGTGCAATGCAGACGGACATTCTAAATGTTACATTTGACAGATTTTCAACAACAAGTATAGATAAACAAATGTAGATTTTGCGAAGCATTTCTTCTTTTACACCTTATTACTAATTTTTAGGAGATTTAAAAAAAATCTATAGTCCTTACTTTAGAATAATATTATCCAGTGTTGTAGGACGTTTTACAAACACACATTTTACGTGGACAAACACCCAGATGCGAAACAATTATCTGTGGGTCACACAACGTGTCTTGACACGGGACAACTATTTGTGTGACCGTTTCAAGAAACGAACCCACGGACCTGGCAACTGCGCTACGGAGTCCTCATGTATATTGTACCCCACTTTTACATTATACACCTGTTTGTTCATGTGTAACGAGTACCCGGGGTAGTTAAATGGGTCACTTGCCTACGGAAGTTACATGTACAAAGTTGGATCTAGTTAGCAACTACCCTGTTTATACTTTATACTGTACCAAGTAGTTATAACACGCGTTGTTCCCAGAGCCTTGGAGCAACATAACAAAGCTTGTATGGTAGAAGTTTGTCTTCATAAACAAACTTTGGCGCACTGGTAATGAATGTATTATGTAAAATGAATTGAAGTAAACGTTATTAACTTTACAAAATGGGATAATGTGGTCAACTTTTAATAAATAATTGTCATGGGGCTCATTCGGGAAATTACCGCGGCGTCACAGAAGACCACCATGAAGTGCGGAAATTTTGATGACGCTCATTTGCAACCCATCAGATGTTGCAGATGTCCATGAGCAGTGCTAATCACAACATTAGATAAATCTTGACTATTTTTCACTTCAAAACTAGTAAAAAGGTATGCAGTATTAAAATCTCATTTTATATTAAAAAAAGCAGTAATATATATAACATTAATAATTAGCTAAACATTACTTATACGCGAGCCGTTAATCCCGGTGTCGGTCGACACCAATGAAATTATTAATTACAATTATAAATGCTGACTTATCACGTGCTCAGCGATGAAGGAAAACAATGGTGAGGAAATCTGCATATTTTCTTGGTGAAATGAAAAATTATTAAAACGAAAAACAGCGCATTGCTAGAATTAGCGGCTCATAAACTACGAAACGGATCTGTCGTCGCTATACATTTGTAGGATTCCTTTAGTTTGTTTCTCCTCAAATGTTATAACAATTAAACTAGAAAATTTAATTCAATACAAATTAAAACATTCATACCATTGATCGGAATCCCAAAAAGAACAGTCACAAATGAGGTCATATTTGTATCTACACATTAAACAGTAACGTTAACTGGCAGAAATCGCCTTATTGTATATGTATCCAATATTGGCATTATGTTCGCTATAATACGAGTCTGTGCATA